AGGTTAAGCTGTATTCTTCTTCCTCTTTTGTTTCTCACTTTTCCCCCAATCATTTGCAATTTTATCAACTTCAATAGAATCATCTTCACCATTTTTTTTTTATCTTCGACCTAATACCATATTCAATATATCCATTAAACCAGCTTATTTTCATGTAAAATGGATGATCAAAGGCAAGAAATCTTCTATGTATCATGTACAAAAGCTTCCTAACATGTTTCAACCATAGTGAACCTGTACTTTTACGACAAATAGGGCATGTGATTTTTCCTTCGTCGAGCCACGCAGATATATTTCTATATGCAGGAATGTCATGTATTGTTCACGTCAAAATAGCTTTTAAGTTGAATGTAGACTTTATAACTGCATCATAAATATCAGCCACATCACTTCATACTAGCATTAAGTCATCTACAATGGTGCCAAATAAACATTTATGTCATTACCTGATTATTTCAATCTCGAGATCAATAAACTCAACATCAAACTTTCCTTTGACATGCGAATTGAGATATGCAAGTTATATATAGTTAAGATTACTGGCCAACAACTGTATTTAGAATTAAGATCTCTGAAAGGATTAAGTCCATCAATAGCAATACCTAATCTATATTTTGAGGATAGGATGCAAAATGTGGCCACCTTCAGTTATTCATTTCCCAACTCAAGGAATCAACCGAATGCCTAATCTTATCGCCAGAACTTTTATTACTTGACTGCCATCTAAGTTCTGTTGACATCTCATATATTCCAAACATCCTCTTAAGTCTTGGTATTATAGGAAAATAATGAAAGACTTTTGATGGGATATTTTTTTGAATTTTTTTAGCCCGTTGGCTAATTTTCCATTTTGAGCAACCTATTTTAGATATAATTTGGCATGCTCAAGCTCCTTTCTATATAGACAACAATCATTTAGGCAAGCATGTATCTTTTCATAACCAAGATCAAATATATTGACAATTTTTTTCATCTCATAAAATGAGTCTGGAAGGGTGTTATTCTCTGGCAGCATGTCTAGAACAAGATTTATAAGTTCATCCAAACCATTGTCTGATAAACCATGTGAAGCTCTATGCATAAACATAGCAATCGAAGGTGACATATTTGTAAATGCCCTGCAACCAAGATATAAAGGAGTTTCATCATTAAAAACTAAATTTCCAATCTCTTTGTCTCTTCTATCAAGACGGTTTTTAGGATCTACATCATTTTGTGCATAGAAATCCTTAAACATCCTACTTAGCTCAAGAATTTCTACGTCGACCAAATTTGATTCACTTGGTTTCTCTCCATGAAATACCTAAACAGTATATGTAGGATCCATACCTTTAATGACCAAATGTTTATAGACTGTATCATAATGATGATGCATTAGATTCCTACACTTAACACAAGGGCATGCTATCATTTCTGAATTACAATTTTCACCAACTTGTTCAACAAAATTCTGTGCTCCATCGCTATATTGTTTTGAAAATCTACAAGTAAATCTTTATGATCATTATATGTTAAATTGCTTTCATTTGGTAACTACATTCATAGGATCTAATTTCAAATGATAACCTTGATAAGTACAGCCACTCTTTGTCTATTATAAGCAAAGCTATTATCCAACACTGAACACTGCACTATTCAAATTTTTTTGAGTTGCCAGAAATTCTGTAGTGTCGCGTAATAAAAAGAGATGTAAATTGTTGTCATTTTCTATCATTTTATATAGCATTTTAGCCTATGAAGAATAGATCATTGAATGTGGTAGCAAAGGACGAGAAGCATAAAAATTTTTAAAGTAATACTAATATTCGCTACTAAGATTAGAATCAAAGATGATAAATTAAGCCCTCATATCATTTCTAAAGCAAATCACGTAGAAAGTGTTTGCGAGAAAATAAAGAATGAGCAAGGTAGGAGCAAAGTCGACTCTAAACATTGCAACTGAGGAATATACTTATGTATATCGAACATTGAAAAATTACATGCTTCATGCTTGTTTAATAAACTAGGTTAATTTTTCAATTTTGAACTTGTCAAATTTTAATTTGATCACATGTTTCATAAACTCATAACTTTTATCAAACTTTTTAAGTCATACGCGTCATCAACTTTTATTAAAATTCTTTAAATTGTTTTTTTAAGAATTTTCTCAAAAAACTCCTATCAACTTTTATTTATTGAAAAATCCATTTATTGGTAGTAATTTTAATTTATTTAAACTATTGCACATTATTTCCGAATCCTAATATAAAATCAATGGAACTCACTGTTCCTAATGTTGTTCATATATTCATGCTAAGATATTTGAAAATATTTCCAAGATGAGGATAAACCTACAACTAATTTCACATAATCACTCTGTGAGAAGATAACTTAACCCTTAATTAATTATACATAACCTTTCACGCACAGTGAGAAAGATTTAATTGGCTTTGATTAGCTTTGATTGAGTATAACCCTGGAAGTTTTAGTTGTAGCTCTTCTGTGTGTTTTGGAAACTGAAAAAAGGGAAAAATGATCCGTCTCTCTGCATTTTAGGTAACATTTGCATTCAATAACTGCTGGAAATTTTTTTGGGTGAATTAACACTACAAGATTTTTGCATTTGCAGTCCTTTGTAGTCTTATAATTGCATTATAAATACATTGCATGGTATTGCCTTTTTAATTCTCTTGCATTTTCTTTAAAAAAAAATATTACCATTTTTCTCTTTGCGAATTTATATCAAACAGCTGAAATATATTCAATGAGAGGACAATGAAGTATTCAGATGCTACTGAGTGCAGAGCAGGAGGCTCAACAAATTGTGAGTGTTGTTAAAAACGTGAAAATGAAAATATTGAGGCAAGCTAAGGAAAGTTGAGAGGGAAGTGGCGAACTACTGCACCCATTTGGAAGCTAAGTACCAAAAGAGTATTTCTGAGTCAAGTGGGAGCTCAAACTCAACAGTTAAACGACTTGACACAGAAACTAAAGAGAAGATTCAAAGCTTAAAGCACATTACAACCGTGAGAACATGATGCATGAAGGTTTGTGATCAATATGTTAATTAATGACTTGCTTGAAGTTCAAGGATTGCGAACTGTTGAAAAAATCATTCTTTGATTCAATATAAATTATTGATTTTTCTTTTTGTCATTTCCATTTTTGGTACTAGATCTAATCTTCTAGTACTAAATTTGAGCAATGGAATAAAAAAAATTGCATTATAACATCCAAAAATTGAAAAAATAGAACGAGCGATTACAACCTATTGGAGATGAAGATTTGAAAAATAGAACACATAACAATGGAATCCATGAGAAATAACAAAAATCTTATGTGAAAAATGAAAGAAAGAACAAAGTTACAAAAAAAATGTAAAAAAATAAAAAATAAAAAAATGATTGTATATAGCTCAGTCTTCCGATTAAGGCAAAAACTGGATGAGACTCACCACCTCTGGCAATGGGAGATCAATGGTAGGCATGGGTAACTAAGAAATGGTGACTAGCGTGAGCGATTTGTATAAGAAAATTGGAGAAGAATTAGAGATTTTGGCAACTGCTTCGATCTCATCTTCTCTCAATTAGGTCCTCTTCATTTGTTGTTTGTGGACGGGTAGGGTTGGAATGGGTTTTCCTTTTCAGCAACGTTTAGAAAATGTTGCAAAATAAATCATTTCAGTAATGTTAAGAAAACAATGCAAAAGAAGTGGATTCCGCAACACTATTACAAATGTTGCAAAATTTAGTTTCTACTACAATCAATAAATGTTGTAAAATTGGGTCGATACCTTAAAATTGGATTTTTTAAGCAACGTTGTTGTTTATAAAACATTGCAAAAGAATGAGTTTCAACAACATTCATGTAAACGTTGCAAAAGTTAGTTTCTACAACTTTTTTTGAACACTATCAAAAGTATGCATTTTTGCAACAGACAATAGCCATTGCAAAACAACTCAAAATGTCTAAACTTTTCTCAAAAACCAATAAACATTGCAAAAGGTAATATTAGCAACACCAATTTGTAAAATGTTGCCGAACCTCAATTATGTTAACCAATGACAACATTCACTTATGAAAATGTTGTCTTAGACCCTTTTAGCAACACTAAATTTAGTGAATGTTGCCTTTTGCGTGTTGCAAAAGCCAAGTTTTGGTGTAGTGTGTTGCGGAAGAATGGTTGAGTAGCCAGCTTCAAGTGGGAAATTCAGTATCACTTTGCTTACTCTAAGTTTAAATGCCACCCTTCCGTAAGCTTTCTTTGCTTCCACTGTCGTGTCAAATGTCCTGAGCCACACACAAGTCTCTTTCTGGTTAGGATCGCGAATCTCTACTACGAATTTTCCCCAAGGACGTTGCCTCATGCCTCAATAACGTCTCCTCTGATCCTCAAAAACTTGATTTTTCATCAATTAATGATCAACCTTTACTTTCACTGTACTGTGATTGTTTGTAGTTTTATTTTCCCACTCCAATTTTCTTTCACTCTCTTTTTGAGGACCTGTAGCAATTATTTCTAGTTTTATTTCTGATAATGCCACAAGATGCTTCATTTCTTCCAAAGATATAAGGTTGTTAGGGTTCTTGGGAAGGAGGTTTCATAGTAGCAAGAGCGGAGCCAGGAATTACTATTACGGTGGGCTAAAACTTTAAAAAATTTAATGTACGAATAAAATTTATATATAATAAGAAAAATTCATAATAAAAATTACCTATTGAAGTTGTACTCGGTGATGTCTTATAGCATAAAATTCATCTATAATAAAATCTAGATCTAAATTCATACTAAATTCTCGTTCAATGTTTAGTGTTAAACAATCAGCAAGAAAACCATCATCCGTTTTGTTATGAATTTCCATCTTCACATGTTTCATTGTTTAAAATGCTCGCTCTACAGTCGTCTTTGAAATAGGTAGTGTCAGTACTAAACAAATCAATTTAGTCAAAATGATGTAACTCTCCAACCTTCTACTTGCAACCAATTTCCGACATAAATAAGAAAATGTAGGTACTTGAAATCAAAGTTTAGAAATCACATCATTCTGATAGTGTTGCAACTCAACTTTCAAACAATAAATATCTCGTTGTTTAAAACCTTCAGGATAAAACTTCTCTGCAAGCTTGCATAAATTATCCATATTAAATGATTCAGAAGAATTTTTTGGATCCAAAGCCATATTGAGAGAAAGGAGTTCTATTGATGTCTCATTAAATCTTGTATCTAACTCCATCATCTGAAAGTCATTGGCTGCATTGAAAATATCACAGTGGTAATGATGTTCAATGGTAGGATACTCACGACCGTGAGAACGACCAACCATATACGAACCATCAAAGTCAGGTACATGTATATCATTTTTTAAGCAAAAACATTTCACCTCTTCAAGAAATTCTTTCCAGCCATTTTCTCTCAATGCTTGAAGGATAGTTTTTGTAGTACAGACAAATCTCATAGCAGTTAAGATGTTTTGAGTTTTCTTTTGAAGGGCCTGATAAAGCACATCCGCAATTGCTAATATTCTATGCATTAAATGCAAGATAAATACAAATTCAAATGTTGTTATGGTTTTGTATACACCACCAACGTCGAACCGAGATCTTGTACTTGGAGAATATTCACTAAGATACTCAAGCACCTTGCAAGTTACAGCATACACATCAATCAAACTCTTTACAGAGCTATAATGAGAAGACCAATGAGTATCTCCGGCTCGTTGCAAATTACGTATCTGATTAGCATTACTTCCTGACTCTCGTTATCCAATTTTCAAATGCTCAATTTCTTTTCTTTGGGCACTTTTCAACTCATTGATGTGCTTAGGAGATGATGTAATCATATTAATAACAGTGTCCAAATGAGAAAAAAATGAATTAATAACTGAGACATCCTTAACTGCAGAAACCAATGTGAGTTGTAAACGATGAGCAAAACAGTGGGCATAGTACGCATATGGACAATCTTTAAGAAATAATGCATGTAGTCCATTCCAAGAACAACGCATAGCATGTAGTCCATTCCAAGAACAAAGCATATTATTAGCACCATCATAACTTTGGCTTCTCATTTTTTGCACTTGAAGTTTGAAACGAACAAGAACATAAAAAATCTGATTCTTAAGATTTACTTCCTTGGTTAACCCTCTTCCAACTATCAAATCAAACAGTAACCAACGATGAAATATTAGGTGGACTACTATCATTGAGAAAAAGGAAGCACTAAAAAGAATATACCTTATGTGTTGAAGGCGAATATTCCAACCAAGGAAACTGATTGTACCAACGTTCTTGAAATCGACGTTTCTATTTTTCACATTCTTTGCTTTGATACTCCAAAAGTTTTGGTTGATAAGTCCAATGTTTAGATAGGCCCGTCTAATCTGATTGCGTTCATTAAATGGATGTTCACATATTTGCTTTCTTTTTCCAGGGTCCCATTAAATAGAATCAGATGGTTCAAAACTAAGATTGGAAGATGAAGACCGTTCAACTTTAAGGGATGAAATTGAAGGAATGGACACCGTAGGAATTGAGAATCCCGAGATTTGTTACTTTTTGAAAAGAAAGACAACAAGTTTCTTCCTTTCTTGGTAGAAGGTCGATCTTCTTTCATATTAAATCTAAAAGCATAAAAATCAAAATGCTTCAATATTCCATGAAGGCATAAATTAAAATTGATAAGACCATAACCATAAAACCAATTTACCGTTTGCTATGAAATGAGATTTTTTATCCAAAATCAGAGAACCAACCTTAAACCTTCTCAACTAGTTCAGTAGCCTTTGGACCTTGTTTTTATCAAAAAGCATAGTGCTTCAAAGAATCAAACTACTTCACATACAATTAAATTAAAAAATCCCAAAAAATTAAGAATTACTAATGCTTCTTAAGTAAATATTCATATTAACAATTGGCTTAAAAATGATAAGGATTTCCTACTGCCCAACAATTTACACACCCTTACCAACTGCAAACTAAATGCTATAGTATATACTATAAGATAAGAGAGAATTGATTCAATTGAAACAAATAAAAAGGGAGCAACAAATGCTTCCTAATTGAATCCTCAAACTATCAAATAGAAACTAGAAAGCTACAATTACAAATTCCATTATTCCAAGATCTCGAACAATTTTGAATATCATTTAGTGCCGAGACTTGAACTGGGACTTATATACTCTTATATACTCTGATATTAGGTATGCAAAGAACTCAATTTTTTTAAGGGGCAATCGTTTTGTTTCAACTAAAAACACCATCAAGTGAATGAGTGCCAACTGCTGTCTGCCAACAAAAAAAATTTCAGTTCCTGTTCCCACATAATTACAAGACAAACAAAAAACATAATAACTACCCAAAATACCAAGTATAATTTTTTATTCCAAGTTTCCAACGACCAAGTATAATTAATTGAAAACATTTATCATATACAATACAACAAACCAAGTAAAATTAATTGAAAACATATTGAAAGATTCTCATATTCTAAGAATCTAATTAGTAAATTACTTACCCTAAAACCTAACCCAAGTCGGCAACTAAGCGTGAGACGAAGAAACGGTGCAAGTCCGTCAATCACGGGCCTGCAGTGAGTCGGCAATCGACGGTTCCGTTTGGCTAGCGGCTACAGGTAGGGGCAAAGTGAAGATTTAGGGATTTTGATTTTTGAATTTTTGGAATTCTCTAAATTGGTTTTGCAAATGAACAGGAATGGAAAAAGTTAGGGGATTAATGGATTACATGGGTAATGACTAATGGGTATTATTGGGCCTAAAATTATATAGATAAGTGGGCTACAGATTAAAGAAGTTTTTTTTTAAGTGGGCTAGCCCGCTGAATTTATTTGTTGGTGGGCTAATATGGCTGAATGATTACAATTCAAACAAAAATAAAAATAAAAAATTTTGTTGCATATGGCCAGGAAGATAATGGGCTGCAGCCAAGTGCGGCCCACTACTGAATCTGCCCATACATAATAGGCTTCTAGGATGAAGAAACAAAGCATGTTGTGGCATTATCAGAAGATTTTTAAGAATGTAATTGGAATGCATAGGTATGAGTGCATGCAAATACATATTGGAGAGGTTTGATAGCTGGTGCATGTTATCGTAGGCACTCCAAATTAAAAACTATACTTTTTAAAATTAATGTAGTAGTGGAAGTAAGAGTCGATCCCACGAAGAGTGATTAATTTACTTTTTGGTGTTGGGCAAAATTTCTTCCAAAAGTTGTATTTTAGTCCCAAATTCAATTTTTGATTCTTTTAAGTCGTTTCTCTTGCAATTTCAACCCTTCAACTTCTAATTGTGTCCAATTGAATCCGCAATATCTTTAATCTTCATTCCATTGCTTGTCTTATCTAAGGATTATTTGCAACTTGGTCCCTGAACTTCCAGTTTCTTCCATTAAAGCACTTTTTTCACTCTTTTTTCTATTTTATGCCATGAGCATCCAAATGCAACCTAAATCACAATATAAGGGTACCTAGGACATTTAGGTGTTAATTAATCATAAAAGTGCAAGAATTAATGGATGTAAATCACAACATTTCATGTCTTATCAATAGCACTGTCTCTTTCTTAATTTTATTAAAAATGCTTTATGGTTCATACGTTGTGTCTTCCATTGAGAACCCATTTCCAAGCTAATTCCACACAATCATGCAAATTTTAGATTTTATTTTATGTTTTATAGGATTTTTATGATATGTTTGATAGTGACTTCTGTTTGAGCTCCATTCTTCATAAAAAAATAAAAAACAAAAAAAAAATTGACTTTTGTAATAGTATTTTTTTTGAAAGATGTGTAGGGTTTTATTGGAAGAAGTATATTTGAAAATGAGTTTGAAAATATTGAATTTTTAAATAATGTGGCTCAATTAGGGTACAATTAGCATTAGTGTAGATGATGAAACATTTCATATAATTTAATCATTAATACATAAACTATCAAAAGATTTAGATGATCAGTATAGACTAAAGTGGGTTGAAATGCCAAAACTAGACACGATCCAACAAACTAGCTGTATGGATACAAGGGAAAAAATCATAGTTAAGAGGTTAAGTATCATCTATTTCAAAAATAAGTACAAAGATTTCAATTTTCAAAAATTAGATACTTATTAAAATTTATTTATGATTTAATTAATTAGTTTAATATATATAAAAGTCACAAATCTATACAATTTGAATAAAAATTATCAATTTAGTTAGTTACATATTATTTTTTGGTTACAAATCAGATATATACCACAAATAGCTCTATTTGTCTCTGCCATTTTATGAGTCTCTTCCTTTTTCTATATGGCATCACCACTTTCTTTAGCAACATCCGCTAATTCTGAGTGTTTGTGATTGTTTCTGAACAAATGAAACAAAAGATATGGTAGAGCTTAGGCAGTTTTTGTATGGAGGCCTTCTTCGCCTTCCACCTAAGCTGCGCTATTATGTCACAATTTATTTATTGGTCGCAAAACACAAATATTATAAGTCACAACTTGTTAAACACTCACAAATTAGTAGATTACCGATCACGAATTAAAATTTTTTTTAGGGAACGCATTACCATTTTTGTCACAATTTATCATTTTTCGTTGGTCACATATTATTTATTGATCATAAATTAACTAATTTAATGAACCAAATAATTTGTGACACACTAACAACACTTGCAACCACCATCTCATCATTGCCTCCAACAATACCACTACCGCGCGTCGCCTCCACAACCACCACCTTCCGACAAAAACACCACCACCTCAAACCAATCAACACATCGCAGAAAAACACCATCACATCGTCGAGCCATATTCACAACCAGCCGATAGACCCATCGTCACCAACATCTCATGATCACCACTGCAACCACTACCACTACCATCATCGCCGATCGCCTCACCACAGCCAAAATATGGAAGTTGCTACCACCAATACCTCAACAACCAAAACCAATACCTCACTGCTACCACCACCATACATAACTGCCAGATCCACCACCATCATCACAATTGCGCAGAATCGCCACCACCACCCAAACACTACCAAAAAGACAAATCCAAAATTATGACACCAGCCACCATGGCCACACGCACAATTGCTTGGTTTAACAACCACTTCCACATTCATCTGCAACTCCAATCAACCACCACCCCTGCCTGCTAGAATCCACCATCTCATACAACACTACCATACTATAGTTTCCACCCCACCAACAAAACCCCAAACCCGCAACAATCACCAACATTTGTGGTGGTTTCTTTGATCAGCCGCTTTATTGGAGTTCTCAGTTACGCTCAAGGATGCAGCTTGTGATTGTCGCACGTCGCTACACAGCATTATAGCAGCGTTGTGTTGCTTCGAGTCATGCATGGTGACTAATAAAGGCCACTTTGCTTGACCACAACCCAGTGTTTTATCGCTGTTGACAAATAGAGAATGGAGGAGGGAGAGGAGAGCAAAGATGGTTGTGGCACATGGTGGTGATGATGGGTACTGTCTGCTTCTTGAAGCGGTGGCATGTAGCTACTTCGCTGACAAAGAGAGTGGAGAAGGTGAGGAGGGAGATGGGAAAGAAACGGTAAAGAGGATGAAATTTTTAGGTTTAAAATTGCTTGAGAGAAGGGAGAGAGTGTAAAGAAAGACTAGAGAGAGAAATTTAGGTTTGGGAATGAGGTGGAATGGATATCTATCTTAATTAATATAATTTTATAATATTAAAAGATGAATAAGTCTCTGATTTTGGGGGAAAAAAAATTCTTTACATCTATTTTCTGAATCGTGCGTTAGGTGTAATTTCAGCTAGACACAATGCAAAACAACTTTTATGAAAATTTATGAAAATAATTTTTAATTAAACCAAACAAGACTAAGCTTCTGTTTGACAATTATTATTTGAAAACATTTTTTTTGCATTCTCATTTTTAACTATATATCACACAATAAAATAGTTTGTACATAAAACAAAAAATTTTCCCCCTTCTAACCTAAAATTCTTTTAAAAATCATTATTCAAAACTTTATTTTTTTCAAATAATGATTGTCAAACAATGGCTAAATATTGAAAAGTGCAGAGTCAGAGTAGGCTAAATTTCAAATTGTAATTTACTAAAACAAATTTGAACTTGGATAATAGGGGAAAAAAATCATATTTAAATATGTAAAATTAAAATTGGGCTTGAGGCCGGGACAACCGACAAAGACAACCCCAACAATGGCATTAGCTACCCCTAAATATTGGAAGACCAAACCTCGAAAAATAACATTAACAATAAATTCCCGTTCTGTCCCCCCCCCCCCCCCCCCCCCCCCCCCCCCCCCCCCTCCTTCACTTTTGATTTCTAGCTTTCTAGGGTAAGGAGGGGAACTTCTCAACATGCAGGAGTATGTCGATAAGTCAATGGAAGGTGACTTATGTACAGCTGACGAGAGAGAGGGGCGATCTCCTTGATCTCCCCCCGGGGCCCTTTTTTTTTTTTTCGTTACAATAATCAAGTTTTATTAACAAATATGAAGAACTAATTTGTATCTCACAACATTCTTGACAAGACAAATTATGACACAAAAGATATACAATATCCCTCAACATTCATATTTTCGCTTTTAACAAAACAATTTTGCCCATTTGGATGTATTTTTGAGGCACTATTTTTATTTTAAAATTTGATTTTTAAAGTCACAAATTATGCTAAACATCTGATGTCTAGCAAAATCGAAGAGAGACTGAATTTTATTTGGAATGAACTGAGCTCAAATATATGAATCAATTTTTGTTTCTCAGTCTTAAATGATTTTTTAATATAGAAAGACGAAATTTTTTCCCACGTTTAGTTTTGGAGCAACTTCACTGAAACCCAGAAAATGATACGGAAAAGCATTTTTTATGATAATAAAATAAAGCATACAATCTTCATTATGAATCTAGCCCATTAGAAAGCAGAATTAGCCGGTTCATATACTTCTGATGCAATCTGATTATAATCTTCCTTCAACTTTTCTTGTTCCTCCTGGGAAATTTCCACCTTGGTGGGCTTGATTAGCACCAGAACACAGCAAGTTAGTCTCTTTGTGGCTCCTGCATTGGCAAGATCCTGAATCGAGCAGGTTGTCACGTTAAAAGCAATCAAACTTTTTCATCTCTAGTTCGTTATTAGAGCATGTATGTGCAGGCTTTAAAATGTAAAATTTACTTGATACGAAGAAATGGGTGCATAACTTAAAAAAAGTTACTTAATTTGAACTATCAAAATAAGTAACAAATTTACGCATATAAAGTTATTACTTTTGTTCAGAATGGGAATACACTTGCGCATTACTGCAATCTTCGTTACTAAATGAATATGGAGAGTTCCACATGTTTCAAACCTAAAAATGTCTGAATTTTCAGAAAGACTGAAATTAAAATGACTACCGCATAAGCAGAGTTCAAATCTAATAATTCTTTAATTTACTTTAATTTTATGCAATAATTCTAATAAACCTCCCACGCCAATTACAAAAGAGAGGGGGAGAGTTTAGTCCCGCTTGTATGTACATCCGCTGTCTTATTTGTAACAGACTCTAGTGTGAATATAATAATACATAGAGTTGCAGACGCTAGACATTAGCAAATGACGCAAGCTCAAATTCCAGGAACTGTCATTTATCAGTCTAGTTTTGGAAAGCAGCATAAAAATAGAAAAAATTCATGATTTCTGATTAAAATTTTTCTATAATTTTAAGATTCATTTAAAATTGAAAAATAGATATTGTTAAATATAGGAAACGGTTTCAAGATTCTAAATTAAGATCCATGAAAAAATGAATAGATCCTAAATTTGACCACAAAGAAATAACCGTCTATAGAATATTAACCAACCAACTTCCCTATAAATAATAATGTTGAGTTGGTACAAAAAACAAACAAAAGAAATACTTTGATCTTTCTAATCAACAATACCAAAAAATAAAATATGGAAAAGTTTATTCAAGTTTCAATCCTCTTTGTTGTAGCTATATGCTTCTTGTCCTTCCCTAGAGTCATCTACTCAGAAGACGTTCCCCAACCTCCTGTTTCTCAATTTCACATTCAGGGACAAGTTTATTGTGATACATGCCGTGCTGGATTCATTACTGAACTTAGCGAGTTCATTCCAGGTATATAATTATAAACTGTACAAAATGCTACTCATATTATACATTGTTTTTCCATGTTAATTAAAAAAGAAAAAGAAAAAGGCTACTCAAGTTGAAATTTTTATTTCCACAGTTGTAAATTTTCAAAAAAACCTAAATTTGTTGCTTCAATTGTTGCTAAACATCCTTATCTAACAGTTTATGAGATAGTTCGGAATGCTAGTAGAGATCTAGCATGTAGAATTGCAGTCACTTGTTTAAAATTATTTACGCACAAGCCTAAACACAGGAGAAGACATGTTAAGAACTAAATTTAACGATGGTTTAAACTTCATATCACATATCATTTCTCTTTCATTCTACAACATGGGCATGTAATAATAACGACACACACTTTATCTTAATACTCCAATGAAATGAGTGCTTGGTTAGAAGAATTCCTTTGTTTTGCATTCATTCATCTTCTTTGCGGTGGTGTATGCATAGTTGAGCAAATTGATTATAATAGATATAATCCATAATTTATACCTTAAATCTCGACTTGTAGGTGCTAGTGTACGCCTCCAATGCAAAGACAAGGAGAATGGAGACGTAACATTTACTGAGATAGGTTACACGAGAGCCGAAGGACTCTATAGCATGCTCGTGGAACGTGATCACAAGAATAAGTTCTGTGAAATCACACTAATTTCAAGTGGCAGAAAAGATTGTAATGAAATTCCTACTGAAGGATGGGCAAAACCATCATTGAAATTTATACTCAATACTGTAAATGGCACCACACGCACCGTAAATCCTCTTGGATTCTACAAGAAAGAAGCTCTTCCAAAATGTGCACAGGTCTATAATAAGCTGGGTATGTATCCCCCCAATATGTGAAGATAAAAAAGAAGACGTTAATTTTCTTCACTTTATTGTAGCTGAATAATTATGTTGCCTTTTTGTCAAGGCTTTTTATGGCCTAACTAGATTGCCTTGTAGTATAGAATAATTTTGCTTTGTAATTTCTGTAAGTTCCCAAGAATTACCTTGTGGAAAGACAATAAAGTTTGTCAATTATGAGATAAACAACAAATGTAATAAATTATGATTTTCATCTATTATTTGCTGTAGCCTACCATTTTTTTATTAGGAGGGAAAAACTACAGTTACTTCGACCATAACACTGCTTCTCCTTTATCAAGGCAATCAGCACCTTTTTATTTCCATACAGGATTCCCATTCCACATGATTTAATATGGTATTAACTGGAAATAGTTTACTTATGCTATTTCTGTCAATCGATGTAAAATTTACGTAGGTTCGAATATTTTTTTTCCAGAGTTATTATCACTATAATTTATGTTTCAGTTTATATTTTGTTTGTCGTGTTCTCTATGAGCAACTTCTAATTGCACCATGGCCCCTATTCGATTTAGATAAAATAAATAAGTAGATTTTATAAAAGTTGATGAAATTTATAGTTGAGAAGTTGTGGATCCCATGAAATGTGTGGTTAGAATTAATTGTTGACTTTGACTTTTTGATTGTGTGTTTTCTATATTGCTTATGAATGATTTATTTTTGTAGCGGGTTGAAAAATATATTGGTAGATGCATTCCGATGTTAAAAATAGTGGCATTTTAGCTTTAGTTTTGGTTATTGTGTGCAGCCATTTTGTATCTAATTTGAGGCATATTTTAATCCTTACCATTAATTTATTATCATTAATTTTATAATACTGAATTGTAGCATTATACATATTGAAGATGTAAAATGAAATGGATATACGAATGTGAAAATATATATTCTTTTCTTTGTTATTAACATATTTTTGTACGAAAACACACTTTGGACAATCGGCTTAACAAATTCCATAAAATACGAACCTACAAAAACCCAAGAAGAAAAAGATAAAAGGTACGAAGAAGAGGATGACCATCAAATATTGGAGACTATATTCAATGCTTTCTTCACCAATCTGTGTATAATAAGTGTTCTCCCTTTTTTCCATTTACGGTATGAAAATACAGTGA